AGGCCTGGCTGCAACTATCCAAAGATACAGTAAGTAGTAGGGCAGCTTCACTCTCCCATCCACATGCTAGCCTAATTTTACCCATGCACCCTGGTGTGGGTGGGGTCTTAATTAGGGTTTATTTTGGGGGTAGGGCTTATATTGGATGCATGTGTAAAAATCAAGTTAGGACTTTCTGAGTAGGTCGTATTTTCAGGGAAACACAGTATATCCATTTCTCACCTCAATTGATCAATTGAAAAGTGAACAGAATTAGCAAAATTCAATAAAGCAAAAGTCATGTAACATTTATTTAGTACCTAATTATTCTTCCATTTGATAACAAAAGCCGTAAATCATTGTCTTTTGTTCTCCATTCTGGAACAGTGGAAGATGGTTGAAGTGGCTTGTTAAACCTTCCATTCAATTTATAATTGGTTGTGTCCTAAAGCAAGAAACAAAACAAGATTCCATTTTAAAAATCTCTATGTAATCCACATTAGTGGTGATGCAAAGTTTGTCTAAAGTAGAAATAATGCATTGCGAATAATAATTATAACACAGGTTTATATGTACAAATTATCATGCCCAAATAGGAAATTATTAAATTCTGTACCTCATAATACCTGATTCTACTTCCATTCTCTAGATTAATGAGGCTTAGCACACATAATTATACATATTGCATCAACATGTCAAGGAGGATATTGAATTAAGGTAAGACAAGACCAACATGCTCAAGTGGAAGTTGCTGGCAGCTAGCAATATGCTGTGAGAATATAAAAAGCAAGCCCTTTTGTTGATCTGTTGATTGAATGCACCGAAAGTGATTTGTTTCTGGCCAATGATAAAGCCAAAAAGGAACCATCATTCTGGCAGTTTAGTTTGATATGGACACAAATTAAATAAAACATGTCAAGAAGATAGCCAATACAAGTACAGCTGGAATTGATGGCCTCTAGCATTATTGCACAATGAGGAACTATAAAAACAACTTTAAGAACTCACATACAGAAAATATTACCGTAGCAAGACTTGATCTAGATATCAGAGTTTTTCATTATTTTCTTAGCATCCTAATGGTAAGTAATAATATGAAACAGTAATGGTATATTGAGGTATCCAATTGACAGAGATGGAGCTGGAAATTTATAACATAATCTTTAATACTAATCTCTTATATTTCTTTTAATCTATATTTGCTAAATTATTTGAGCTGATATATTATGCAAGCACACAATATTTTAGCAGCAATAAATTACAATCAGTATTTTGTACCCAAGCCTTTTAGTATTTTATTTCATTCTAACTTGTAATACTTGCCTCTTCCCATGGGCACATTTCTAATCTCTTAAGAACTTCCCTTGTGTGGAGCTCCAGAATATCCAAATTAGAAGGTGTTTTGATAGACTGATCTCGTAGCTTCCTTGCTCTTCTTCTGGAATGATGAATGGAGGCCAATTCACTTGATGACCGTGAAACTTGACACACACCAGTTCCCTGAGTTTTGATTGGTTTGTTGTTCTCTTCCTTTAAGTAAAATAAAGTCATTTAGAATGGATCATTACAATTACAATTTCACATTCAGATAATGATGTACCAAGATAAGAAGGGAAAGATATTGGAAAGGGCTATTCCTTCTTCTTCTTTCACTGTAACAGTGGACAATCATTACAGCAGCAATGCTCCAAGAGGAAGGGCAAGATACAATTGTAGAGCCCTTGAAAATCCAGAATCCTGGCACACCTTGTATTATATCTTGCCCGGTATAACTCTTATCTCATCCCAAATGTACCCTTTGGATGCCAAAAGGATATCCCTACTGTAATGTGTCTTGTAAAACCGCATTTTTCAGACTGTATGCAGTATGAAATAATAGAATATTTAACAATCCAGCTCATTAAACTAATTTCCATTTGATTCAAACCATTATTCAATCCCACCCTAATTGTTTCCCTATAAAATGATGCAAATTTCCACCATCACAATTAAATGTCTTTTATTCATACCTCTACAGATCGAATTACTTTAGAAAGTTGCTTAATTAGCTGTCCAGGCCTAATATTGTCTGGAATTTCAAAGGCATGTTCTGTTACAAGCTGTAAGCAAAATAAAAGAAAATCAGCTAAATTCTAAATATAAATGAGAAATGCTACTGCATTATGAAAAATAAAAATGCTACTGCGTTTTTAGAAGTAAAACTTACATCTTTTTTCATCCATAGCTTTAAAGCAGTAAGTAAAGCTTTCACTCCTTGTATTAAGAACGTTTGGGGCTGAAAACCATCTTCTTTCAGCTCTAGAAATGAGAATTTAAGATTAAGTTAATATTGTTTCAGTAATGTTCCATCAAGCAGTATCTATTGTATCTCAGCCTTTGGAAAAATCTGACCCAAAATTTAAAATTATTATGAAAATAAAATGGGACTTTTTTGCACCAATGCAGGCTAATCAAAACATGGAGTAAAACCAGAAACGTACTGCAATTGAAGTATAAAGTACTTTCAAACTACAGAGGAAGGACAGAGCTCTTACTGCAAACAGATGGTTATTTAAATATAACATTTTAAAGGTTATCTTAAAAACTGAACAGCAATTCTTTTTCTTCTAAATAGCTTTAAATGGGATATTCCAGAACTGCATGCTTCAGAAATTTGGTACCTTCTGTGAAATTTTCATACTATATATAGCCATTATATTTTAATTCGTTTCCATATAATGATAAACTGACGCAGTGCTTGTATACAGTGTTAAATTACTATGTTGTTACAATTACACCTGCTATTTATTATTATAGCCCAAATGGAATTCCTGACTTGTTTTTCTATCAACAGAGTTTAAAAATAAACAACAACACATTTGAAAGAGCCAGCATTAGAAGAATTAGGCACTGAAAGTCTTTTTAAAACCCTACAAAGTAGCTTAGTATCAATATATACATGATCTAATCTGCCATTAATTCAAAACTGTCCTAAAGAGAAAAGTTGATAACTGTTTTACTTTAGTAATTCAAACAATACTGAAGGGTTATGTGTGGCCCCGTAAAATGAAAAACCATAATTGCATGTGCAGTTCTATCTGCATGTCATACAGTATATAATCCATTAAAGCTTATGCAAATTGGTTAATATAGCATAAAATTCTGCTGGTTTTATACAATAAATAGGTAGCTCTCCAGAAATTACAGCAATGAGTAAATACAGATGTTCCATTTCATTAGTTAGATAACACTACTAATGTGAATGAGCCCCTATTCTCAGTAGATTCCAGTTCTTTGGCACAAGCTGTCAGAAAGGACATAGGGCCAATTTGTTTCACCTGCAAATGAAAATGCTTCTCAATTTGGTTTTTAAATTGAACCTAAATTGGGCATGGCTGCCTGATTCAGTTCTGAAGAACAGATGGTAGCCAGATTCATTGTTTAGAAATTTGCATGTTTACAAGAGTATCTCTTCCATATCATAGTACTAAACAATTTTGGTTTAGAAGTAAATTTGACACAAGACTTCCTATTATTCTTCCTTTTTGATGATCAATTTATTTTGTTTTTACCCAGACTACTGCTATCTTGATATTTACCCTGGTGAAACAAACCAGATATCTGAAGTTTTCCTTACTTTTTCTCAGCGAATTTGGGATAAATATATTTACTATTTGACCTATATTGATATTGTTGTTGGTTTTATTTACACTTCCTACTAGATAATTCTAAATGTACTGTTAAGTATCAGAACCTTCCCAAGGATCTAGGACAGTTAAGATACCATTGTAAGATACCAGTATGTTTTGTAGTGATTATCTTCATTCAGAGCTTACTTTCACAAGAAATCTTGATTCCTTAAGTTTTTACTATTTTTTTCCATCTTGATGGTATGTCTGCCACATTTTGTCCAATCAAAATACCACTGCAATATCTTGGCTGTTTATTATGGACAGTGCTGAGCAGAAATTTTATTTCAGGCAAAGTTTTATCATAATCAGATTGTCCATGAAAAAGAGATGGGATAAACTGGCAGATGTTTTTGATGTCTGATAGCCATGGCCTAGGTTATTCAGTATCATTGGCAGAGTAATCAGTGTCATGACAAACAATAGTGGTGATGGTGAATCTCTTTGAAAGATTCCTCTCTTGATATTAACCTCTCCAATATCACTACTGACTAGGAACCATATTTTTTGTTGTGCCATTTGATCCTTGAAAAAACCTTCTGATGTTTCTATTGACTCCTTCGAGGCACTTTATTATCCAATCATGTGGCAGGGAGTTCAATGCCTTCTTTAATCAATCTATGCTAGATTCAAGTTGGCCTTCCTTCTCTTGTAGTTTTGCAGAATCATCTTGTCAATTAGAAATTGTTTTTTGTTCCTCTGCTGTTTGGGCATTTTGATTCTTCTACTGCTTTAGTTAGAAAGCTCTGTTCTTTCTGAGGCAAAGAGGGTACCTGGTTTTGGAATGAAAACAATTAAATAGCTCTGCTGGCTTCCTCTACAGCCAACTCTCCCTGGTTTACCTTTACAGTCTGAGCTGCTTCTTTTGCAAGGCTTTCTTTGCCCGCGGTAGAGCTTTGCAAATCTTGTAATTCTGCTTCCATTGATACTTTACTTTGTATTATAAATCAATGCTGATTTACTAGCCTCTGTTCTGTTATTTCTGATTCTGGATAGTGCTCTTTCCAGTTCTGGTGCATTCATTTCAAGTATTTTCTTCTTGTTGGACTTGATCTATAACAACATATTATTATTTCTTTGTTTTCTATCTCGGTATGTTTGTGACAGATAAACATCTTTCCTTCTAATAGTTCTGCAGCTGCTGGTCCTAATTGCTCAGCCAACAGTCTTGAGTCCTGCAACCTATCCAAATGTCCAGGAACTCTAACACCCAGCACAGTCTTTGTTGACTTAAGTGACAACTGAGCTAGTATGAGCTTCTGTAAATTACATTTCACAATATCATTTATGGGAGAGACATTCTTTGTCTGACTCTCAAGAGCTGTCCAGAATAGTTGAACCTCTGGCATAGCTCTCATTTTTCTCAATGCACACAAGCCCCACAACCATGCCAAGTTTTATTATTATTACTATCATCAACATGGAAAAGCTAAAGGGATTGGCTAGAACTCTAAATCATGCATGGGCAATCCTGCAACTATGGGAAGCCATCTGTGCAGCCATCTGTGCCAGCACTATAGGTGTACAAATCACTAAAATTGTGCACGGTAGGATAATCTGCAGGGATAGCTATTCCACAGAGTATCTTCACTGTGAATCATGTGCTAGCCAAACTGTTACCTAGCAAGCTTGAGGATCAGGATTTACATCGTAATAACAGCATAATCAAACCTTCCAGAAAGAGAATGGTGTAGAAGAGGTGAAAATGAGTAGGTACTTAAGGAAAAATAGTGGGAATTAAACAGCAGTCAGTTTAGAGTGGGAAAATGTTTATTTTCATATCCATAAAACTGTACATATCCCAAAGGGGAAAAATGCATTTACTTCCATTTTCAAAGCCTTTGAATGTAAGTGCAAAGGATGATATATGAAGGGTTGTTACTATTTGTTCAAGTGCAAACATTTAAATTAATATAGCTTGCATAATATTTTAAGACTGAATAAACTGGCTACCCTGATTTTTCTTAATTGCAAAGTATAAATAACTTGCTACTCTGGCTATGATGTGCTCATAGATCTATTAAATCATTGTAAAGAAAAAAAGCTTACTCTCAAATCCTTCTTAAAATATTAATTACTTACCTTTCAAAGTTTCCATTAAGTTTTTGGCCACAAACCAACAGATGGCTTCAAAGAAAGGGAATTTGAACAGATCTGGAGTTTTTAATCTTTTCTCCATTTCATAACACCTAAATAAACAATTCAGAAGGATTATTTTATATAAATATATAATTACTGTTCACTTTGTTCATGAAGTATAGCAAAATGAAATATTCCCTAACAACAAAAAGTTCCATCCACTGCATTCAGATATATGAAGTATGTTTTTATAAATTCCTTGAATTCAACCATTAAAAGACAGATGTTTGCTATTAGAAGTAGTCCTTGCCTGTTGACCAATGATTTAATGACTGTTCATAGTCACAATAGCCCAGGAAGTGCTTTACTACCCATAAAACAGGAGTGTCAAACTCGCAGTCACGTTATCGTCACATGCCGTATTGTGACTTTCCTCCCCTTTGCTAAAATTGGGGTGGGCGTGGCCAGCGCGTTACGCATCCAGCCCACGGGCGGCGAGTTTGACACCCCTGCTATAAAGCATTTCTAGACATTGTAAAACATTATGCCATCTCTGCTTCCCCCAATCACAGGATTATTTTGGGTGTTTGGAAATCTGTTCACATGTATGACTTATTGACTAAGTACCTTGAAATCATATGATCGCCATATGCTATCTTCTCTGCTGGCTTTCTCAGAAAGTCAATGGGGAAGTTGGCAGGGAAGGTTGCAAGTAGAGTGGACATTCCACTCCATTTTCCCAATACACTAGGAGATTTCTCCTCTTTTCCATGTAGGGAGGGAAATCGTCCCACATGGAAGAATGGAACAGAATGCTAGCATTTGCTAGTATTTTCCTGATCCCTCTGGAAGTGTTCTGAAATGGGTCGTAGGTGAGGTGAAAACACTAGCAAACACTAGGTTCTCATGATTATCTTGGGGGGAGGAAGCAGAAAGAGGGCCCGAGTCTCCCAGGTATGCTTGGAAGTCAAAGTCCTCTCCCTGCCTCATGAAGCCCAGGAGGTTCAGGCCCTCTTCCCAACAGCCAGCTTAATAACCACAACTGGGAGAATTTGGATTGTGGTTGTTGAGTGAAGTGATCATGTGACCACTTCACTCAACAACCAAGGTTCTAGGGCCAATTCTAGTCATGAGTGAAGGACTATCCTTAGTCACAAGTGGAGGACTATCAATAACTTAAATAATATTTTCAGTAATGCTAGTTTATTATTTATTATTATTTAGTGTATGACAACATGACAGAAGAGAAGTAACATATATACAAAGTCCACATAACTATATATAAATTTCTATAGGGGTATGGCAGTTGCCTCATAACTGGATGTCCAATTCAGGTTATTGCCTCTGGAGTTGCTTTGTGCAGAGAACCAGGGAATGCATGTCATGGGCAATCTTGTCCAATATGTTTAACAGTTTACATATCAGTATCACAATCGCAACAAGAGGAATCTTTCCATCCCCACTGATACTGGGCAGGCACTTCTTCCAGTATTCCACCTAATTCTGTTCAATTTCGACCAGACAGTGCAAGAGGGCAAAACTAGGTGGTTTGGTAGAGGGATCACTTATGATCAGGCCACAAGGAGATACCTTGGACCATTCCCCACTCCATACATTCTCAGGGTTAAGCTGGGTAGATGTTAAATGAATAGCTGTTTTCCATGCTCGGCTATGGGATTTCAATCTTGTGATGGGCTGCACATTGTCTTGATGAATAGGGAGGACCTTGTTGTTCAGCACCCTTGACCATAGCCAAATGAGAGCTTGTTGTCTTCTAAAGTGGGGAGATACGATATTGCTAAGTATTGGTAATCAATGCACAGGAATGGAATGCAATGTACCAGAGATAATACGCATTGTCTCATGAAGTTGGACATCGACCATTTGGGCATAGGCACTGTTAAGCCACATACTGGTAAAATATTCAGCTGTGGAATAAACCAAAGCCAAGGCTGTTGTTCATAGGGTGTTTGCATCAGCACCCCAGGATATTCCAGCCTTCAATTAACTTTAATTAAAAATATATATATTCCTCTTTCATACCTGTTTAACCAATTTGTTTTTAATGTAATTTTGTTTTTAAAAAAGGCAAGCAATTCAGAACAATCTATTCATTTTAACTGGAGATCAAATAATGATAATCCCTCTATTCTTTGCAAAATATGAGCATGTTGTCTTTACAAAACTAGAAAATGATTTAATACCAATTTAACAAAGACATGTGTCTACATTTGTAGAAGCAAATAGTTGGATAAAAGAGGAAATTTCAACTCTAACCTGAGCTGCATGCCAATATTGAGGTTGTGCAAGAAGTTTCCTCCAAAAGCCATACAGTCCTGAGAAGTGAGTACAGCATGAATCCATCCTGAAACAAAAAGTTAAGCCTATATATCCACAATATTTTGTTCCCAAAAGCACAACAGAGGAAAATTATTTTAACAACCCACATATTGTTCAAATCAAAGTTTTACCATCATATTACTGTTATTTTATTGGACTATCAACATATCAATATCAGTATTGGTTTGCTGTCTCAAAAGCATAACTAAAAATCTCTAAAATCAAATCAACAGCCAATTTCATTTAATGGTTAAGGCACCTGGCCAGAAAGTAGTAGACTGTGAATTCAAGTCCTGCCTTAGTCATGAAAACCAGCTGATTGACTTTGGGCTAGTCATTCTCTCTCAGCCCAAACCACCTGACAGGGTTGTTGTGGTGGGAAAAATAGGATAGAATATTCAGTATGTTTGCCACCTGGAATTACTTATAAAGTAATAAAGGTGGGATAAACATCTAATGTAAATAAATAAACAACTCTTCCTTCCATAACTAAGTATTAATTTGAAAGCCAAATTCATTTTTCTATCTAGTTTTATCTCAAAACTTCAAAAGTTTTTGGACTACCGAATATACTGAAATATTTCATCATTTTGTATCCTTTCATAAATCTTGCTGGAGGACAGGGATATCCAACTTTGGTGACTTTACGTGTTGTGGAATCCCAAGATTGGAGTTGCCAAAGTTGGAGACAGAGGTCAACTCACTTACAACCACCTCACTTAGCAATGGAAATTCTGGTCCCAATTGTGGTCATAAATTGAGGTCTACATGCATTTTGTTTCATTAACCTTAGCTGCTTTTTGTTCTATATGTATTACTAGTATTACAGGTTATTTATTCAACAGGAAATCTGTCTCATATATAGCAGAGGTCTCCAACCTTGGCAATTTTAATACTTGTGGACTTCAACTCCCAGAATTCCCCAGCATGGCTATGTCCACAAAATCTCAAAAATTAACTTTTTTCTGAAGAACACACCTGCCAAACTGTATTACAGATGGAACTAAACTGGCAATTAAATTCAATATAACCAATGCCCTATTATATTATCAATGATTATACTAACTTGACGAATTAATAATTCTCCCTATGATATTAGAATAAACAAACATACATTTTTGTAAAAATTAATGTATGTATGTATGTATGTATTTATTTATGTATGTATGTATGTATTTTTTATTTATTTATTTATTTAGCCTATATGCCACCTATTTCACCAAAGGTGACTCTACAATAAATATAATTACTGTATACATTAATAGAGCATGGAATAACAAACAGCAGTATTAAAATTCTTTTACAGGCTTCAATACACAATTATTGAAAATGTGATAGGAAATGAATAGACAAATAAATAATTCCTCAGCTATCTTCTTTTTCAAATTCTTTATCGTCTCAACTTCTATCTCTATAAATGCTTAGTAATATCTGAGTCTGCCTTCTAAATTTAAACTTAATTGTTAAATTAATTAAAAATTCTCTGAACATTAGTTATTAAGTTCCAATACATCGATATGTTAATGGACAGGGAAAGAACTTTTTACCTGTTGGAACAAATAAGGTATGTCCTTGCTTCACTACACATTTATAACATTTGTCAACTTTATCTCCAAAATACACTTCACTCTGGGTAACAGATGAACTCCAGGATTCATAAATTGCCAGATTATCATTAGTAGGTTTGATCAAGTAGAAGATCTTTTCACCCTATGCACAGAAGACATTTCATTACATGTGGTACATCTTTGCAATTTTGTATTACAACCATTAATATCACATAGAACTACAATATAATGAAAGTATAGAACTGTATTGCTATTTAAAAGAAAATTACTGCAGTTAGGAAAAAATGATAGAATGGGAGAAAAATTCTCAAATTTAACCAGTTGGCTAAACAAAATCAGAAATCTATGCAATTTTCCTTGTGAATAGCAAAACAAGCAATTCAATAAGTGAGAAACATGTATTATTTTGTCCAATCATTATTCACACACACACACACACACACACACACACACACATCCAGAGATATGTAAAAGAAAACATTCAAAAATTTTAAAATAAGAATGCAGTACTTTTGTACATTAAGGAAATTAATAGTTTTCTTACCCAAAGAACATGATACCAAACAGAAGTGCCTCCAAAATCAATATGAAAATCTGTGTAGCTATCTTGAACTCCCATTAAGCAATACTTCTGAACAAAAGGCTTAGGGAAGACCGAGTCATCTGGCCAGTAATTTTCAACCCATGAAAGTTTTCTGGCAATTTCAGGAACTTCCACTAATTCAGACATCCTTTAAAATTCAAAACAGGAAATGCAATTTGAATATGACTAATGATTTCTTAATATATACAAATACAAAAAATATTTCCTCTAGTAATATTTTGACTCATACTACTATTTAGATTGAACTGTTAACACCAAAGATAGAGAATTAGTCCAATATATGACTTATTTAATTATGCTACACATTCTCTGAAGTGGAACGTATATGGACTATAATGAGATTTGAATGAAGAAAAAAATAGAATGAAAGTCTTCATCTAAATCCAAATTTTAAATTATTATATATCAACACTATAAAATAATTACCGTGTTTCTCATATAATAAGGCCGGGTCTTATTTTTTTTTGAGCCCCGAAAAAATGGCTAGGCCGTCTTTTCGGGGGTGACTTAATTCCCCCCCCCCCCTTGCATCTTCGGGCAGGCAGGCGGCGACGGCTTGGATGTTGACCTCGGCGTTGGTGGGGCACTTCGTATCAGGGTCAACGCAGGCAGCACCATATCTGGGTGTGCAACAAAAGTACTTCCTAACGGCAAGCCCCCCCACCATTCCCCCCATTTCACATGTTTTAATATAGGCCTTAATTTGGGGGGAGGGGCTTAATTTCATTTCATGCCTATAAAACATGCTGGGACTTCCTATTGGGGGAGGCCATATTGTTGGAGAAACAGGGTATATAGAAAAATTGATGGTCTCTTATTTCAAATGAGAACTATTTTACTAGTTGAAATGTTCAAGAAGAGATTATTAGTTAATTCAATCAACTATTTTTGTATATTTTAAACAACTGGTTCATAAGAATATGGTTATGACTACATATGTGTTTGTGTATGTGATTTCAAATTGGGAATTAGAAGTCATGCAAGAGTATGAAATTACAAGGTAGCTTTAGCGGATTATCTTTCTAAAATACAGAATATCCCACATGTTGATCTCTATGCAGAACTACAATATTAAATACAATGTGTTTAGTAGTTAGCATTTGCTAATAGATTAGGTTTAGAGGCATAAACCCAGGCATATTTTCATTTTTTAATTAAAAAATAAACACTATTTTTAAAGTAATGTAACCTCTAACAAACTTTTGAAAAATATTTTTATTCATCTTGCATATATTTGTCAGCCGTCTCAGATAAGCTAGATAGGAAACACAACTAGATGAACTGAATTTTACTTTATTCTAAAGCTACATTAACAGAATCTTGGAAGTTTGAAAGTACAAAAGTTCCCACCATATCTTTTAACTGTTCCATCCATGAGGAAATATCTTTTCTAAGTTGCTTTCTCTGACCTTTAAAGCTACTGGGGGTTCCTGCCTCTCTTGTCTGATTATTTCCTAAATTGTATCTCTTCCCCACTTTCCCAAAGGTCATTCCCACAGTCCACTAAACATATAAGAAAAATATGTAGATAAGCCCTTTCCAAAGAAAAAGCAATTGCATTATTCATCCTTTCAACCTAAGTTATTTAGGATAACCCAAGCTTTAAGTACATATCAACTTCATATTTCGTTATTGAAACTATTCAGAAAATCTGAAATTATTGTTATATACTACAGTTTTAAATATAAGCATTTTATACATATATGAAAATTGTATACTCACTTTGTGTCTGAGAATTCAAGGCTTATCACATTTAATACTTTTGGTCTCTCAGGGTTTGTAAAATACTTGATGTAATTATGGAGCTTTATTTTGCTATCTGCTTGTCTTGCCACATCAATAACATCAATCACTTTTTCACCACCTGTAAAAATGAAAAAGTTAAATCACTGCATAAACCAGTCAACAAAGGTCTATAGAAATTACAACTCAGGATTATGGGAATATAGTAATATATGCTTACGTAACTATCATTTTTTTCTGAAAATCCTGAAACTGTTAAAGAGAAAATATAGCTAAACATTAATGTTTTGAGTATTCCATTCATTCAGGTTAGATTAATCTCAAGACATGATATATTTAAAGCTTACAACTGAAACCAAAGCTTTCAAGAATTAATCAAGTGTTCTCAGAAAATGTCACAACCATAAAATATTTCAGAAAAAGAATATTTAAACCCGTTTACTTTTCCTTGCCCTTTTGTGTTTGAACCAACAGTCCATACCTACATAATGTTCCACATCTAGAACAGAAAACGTAGAAGGTGGAAGTCTGAGACCTAAGCCATCTAATTTAGGTACCATAATGGGAACGTCAAACCCATGCTTTTCCAGGTATCTTTGTGTCAATTGGCTTCCATGCATTTTCAAAATGATTTCATCAGCACTAGAAAGAAAAAAATATATATGTATATATACATATACATGTATTATTTTTAAAATAGAAGCAGAATTTTTAAAAACCCTGTGAGTGAATGTTGCAGCAGTAGAAATATTTTTGAAGTGAAATATAAAGTTTCTGTCCTTCCCAACATTTATTATATCTGATCATTTTCAGCAACTTGTTTTAACTAATCATAATGTTAACATCTGACACTGAAACAATTCTGCCTTGGTAAGGCCACACGTGGAATACTGTATCCAATTTTGGTCGCCATGATGTAAAAAAGATGTTGAGACTCTAGAAAGAGTACAGAGAAGAAAGAGCAACAAAGATAATTAGGAGACTGGAGGCTAAAACATATAAAGAACAGTGCTGGAACTGAATATGTCTAGTCTTATGAAAAGAAGGACTAGGGGTGACATGATAGCAGTGTTCCAATATCTAAGGGGCTGCCACAAAGAAGAGGGAGTCAAACTATTCTCCAAAGAACAAGAAACAAGGAGAGAAGCAACTTAGAACTAAGGAGAAATTTCCTGACAGTTAGAACAATTAATCAATGGAACAACTTGCCTCTGAAAGTTGTAAATGCTCCAACTGGAAGTTTTTAAAATTAGATAACCATTTGTTCTGAAGTGGTGTAGGGTTTCCTGCCTAAGCAGGGGTTGGACTAGAAAACCTCCAAGGTCTCTTCCAACTCTGTTATTCTAACCTGATTCTAATTCTTCCAGAATGTCTTTAATATTATTGGATATCTAGTTTTAACTTCCGCAAATAAACACTGAAATCCTGATGACATTCATATCCTCTAGAGCAGGGGTAGGGAAACTTGGCTCTTTTATCACTTATGGACTTCAACTCCCAGAATTCTTGAGTGAGCCATAAAAGGTTCCCCATCCCTGGCCTACTGGTTTTTCAGTTGTGGGGGAAATCAATTTTTGACTTGAATGGGACTGTTTAACATACAAATGTAGAACGGACTACATTTGTATATTAAACAGTCCCATTAAAGTCAAAAATTGATTTCCCCCACAACTGAAAAACCAGTAAGCCAGGGATGGGGAACCTTTTATGGCTCACTCAGGAATTCTAGGAGTTGAAGTCCTAAGTGATAAAAGAGCCAAGTTTCCCTACCCCTGCTCTAGAGTGATATAGTTAAAGCATGAATTCAGAATCACTATTTGAAGCAATTACATATACTTTTAAATTTTCAAATTCAACTGATCTTACCTTGGGAATGAACGGGCACGTAGCTGTTTAACAAATGTTCGGGTTCCAGCTTGAACTGGTTTTGAACCATCATCATATTCTGTATAGTCATGTCTGTGCCAGTTCCTCCTCTTCTTCACTACATGGTGAAAAATGTAACCGTCAATTTAAGATAGAAGAGAATCAAATCACATTTAGCTATGAAATTCTCCAGGAGCCTGTCAAAACTATTTCTCTATTAGTAATGAATTATTCAGGGTTTTTGCTAGGATCACATTGGAAGGGGAAAAGAATGAGAAAAGAGGAAAATGTACAATACACTAAACTTTTTGGAGAATAAGGGCATTACCATGACACATAATACAAATGTGCATTCTACCCTTTCTTCAATATACTATAGTCAGATGAGTTCCTCTGTTATTTTCTAACTATTCCCAAGATGTTATTTTTAGCACGTATAATTGGCTCAAGGTCGTTGAGAGAATTTTTTTGTTGAATGGGGATTTGAATTAAGGCTCCGTTTCCTCTCAGCAAATGTAAATGAATTTCAGATCTGATCCTGCCACCAGTAAATTATTATTAAAATCTTTCTTTTTCTTCATCCAGAATTAAAGGAAATATTTTTAAAGATATAAGAAAAACTCTGTACACCTTCATTCAAATGAATGCAGTTTTATAAGCATCCTAAATTGAAACTTTATAATACATAAAAAAATGTTAAATGACAAGATTCAGTATCATGCCAAACGGAATATATTCCAGAGATACACTTTTAATCATTTGCAGTCTGCAGTGTTCATGCAAGACATTTGGTATGGTAACATGTAGCTGTAGGCTTTGAACTATTCCACTTAAATGTTTCTTGCTCACTAAAGCATCCATTATTTCCGAACACATAAATTCTATTGCTACAATTATGTCAATGAACAGAATTGTATTACAAAGTTTAAACTTTCCTTTCAAATGTACTGGTTAAATTTTACTATACAAAGTAATTCTAAAACCTTAATTTGAAAATCCATACTGAGCAAATTCTGCTTGCCAATGTTGTGAACACAACTTTAGAGTAATTGGAGCCTAGCAATAAAGATTTACATTTGCCTGGATATGTCTATAAAAGACCAATATTACAAGATTGTCTGTGCTGAAAACTGTTTTTAATATTTTCAAATAAAGTTGTCCTCATAGTGTAAACCAATTTATTTAACAGCTTGCCATGAGAACTGCAGGATTTTCTGTATATCACAACAGATGGGGATGAATGCCACACCTTCAAGAACTCAAACAGTTTATATTCAATAGCAGTTGCAGAAGAAACATTTAGGCATAGCCCTGTGATATCCATGTTGTATTTTCCAATTTTCAGTATGCATATTTGTATGTAAACTACCCCTATCATTTTATTCAAATGTATACAACTGTTTCTTCAAATTCAACCACCAGTTTAGATGGTGGTAGATAATAGCCAATGGCATCTGACAGTTTTTTAGACAGGCAGCTGAACTACAGAAAATGTCAGACAAAGACTTTGAGGTAACTGATTCCAGCTAAAAATATCTATTAACAGCCACAAATAATCGCAGCTAGAAAATATATCTTTATCTATCTATCTATCTATCTATCTATCTATCTATCTATCTATCTATCTAT